TTTCTACTTTCGGTTGTATCCATAATTTGAAGTTCAAAAGGATCACTCATAGGAATGTGGTTTATTGAATGACAAAACATGACCAATATATCTAAGTGCAATTAATGAACTTTTTTTGTAACATATTTTTTTCTTTTTGTCTTTTAGAAAGTTTTGCATGAAATCTCTTTCATGCAAGATGGAATTTGTCATCTTCATTTTGTATGTAAATACCAGAAGACATAGAAGGATTAGTTATTTTCTAAAAATCTCCCCTTTCAAGGAGACAAACACAGGATTGGTGTCTTCTAAAAACCTCCCCTTACTTGAATGATATAGGAGTTTATGTGCCGTGAATTCCAAATATTATTTTTTGCATAAACAAAAGTTATTGTTGTGGCTATAAAGGGCCCAATACTGACAAATGTAAAACAATTCAAACGAGAAAACTAACGGTCTGATTTATGCACAAAATAATGAACGAAAATAAAATATGATATACAGAGGCAAACGACAACTACTGAATTACAGGCTCCCGACTTGAGACAGACACATACAGAATTCGGCGGGGTTAAACTTGTTTAAAGACGCCACCCCCCCCCCCCCCTTACATAACCTGTCACAGTGGTGTAACAGTACAACATACGAACAAACTATAACAATCAGTTAAAAAAGGCTTAACTCATCAGATCGATACAAAGCAGAAATATATCTAACAAAAACACAGACCGGACGTGGCAAAGTATTTATACATCCCCACAACAAAAACCACCACTAAGAACAGATCTGAGAGTACTCGCAGTTACCGTACTGACAGCTAGTTCAAAGCCAATAACAACTATTAAAAAATCATGCATCTAAGACTAAAATATCAATCAGTACATATTCAACATCCAATTGATTAAGTGTAAAGACGTCATTAACAGTAAGAGTAAAACATGACCTTGTGAAAGTATATAACTACAACTATATCGTTACTACTGCCGATGATGATAAACTGTTACACAAGCAAACTGTATTGAAATGGGGTCTCGTTGCGTTTTAACATTTACTATTTCTTTTATATTTCAGTCTCACCACCATGATTTTATTGTGTATTGTATTATCGATTGTGATACATGAACACCATGTTAAATCAGAGTACTATAGGCAACCTGAATATTTTGGCAGAATAGGACGAGGCGCTGAGAAGAATTATTTATTAGATGATAATGGTAAAACTACTTTTTTACTTAGATATTATGTCTATCTATCCTTTCGTTGTTAATCTTGCTTTATTGAATTATCATACCAGCATCAGAACAAATTAAACGGCGTATGTTCTAGTAAGCATTTTCACCCAATAAAAATTTCTCTGTATCATGTTTCATTTTATCTAGATATTTTACTAGAATTCGCACGTTTTAATGTTTAATTCATACAAAATAGGTGATGTCTGTATGTGTAGATGGATGTAGTGATAACCTTTTCAAAAGTAACTTTTACAAAAGTAACTGTGTGGGTAAACAAGCAATTTTACGTTATTAGTGTCAGTAAATACCTTTGCTTAATTTTTATAAAGGCATTGGTGTTATGATTCAAAGGTAAAAAGTTGATTGTACCAATTATCGAAACATATCTATGTGTCTGTCTTGTTCCATGTAAGAAGTAAAAAATAAAAGTTTAGTTTGATATATTTCATATAAAAAAACAAAACGAGATTCATTCTTTAAAAGGTCGCATATTGATGTTAAGTTGATAAATTTTAGTATCGGAAAAGCCTAACTCAAGGTAACTAATTAGTGCACATTACTAAGCTATTGAAAAAGGTCGATATAACAAAATCGATAAAGATAAAAGATTTTGTGAGTTGTGTAAAAATACGCAGGTTGAAGACGAGTTTCATTTTTAATGGAAGGCACTGCATATGAAAAGGAAAAGAATTTTATTCTTGAGGAAGCATGTATTCAATTTGAAAACTTCCCTTGTATTTCAAAGTAGGAACAGTTTATTTGGTTAATGTCCAGTGAGTCTTATTAATCAGTTTCAAGTTTTATTAGTACTTCTTTTAAAATAAGAAAACATTTGCATTCCAGTGACTACATAGACATGTAGTAGTGATGTAGTTTATGTTTGATGTATAACAAAGGGTTAATATTCTATTCTATCTATTTTTTGTCCAACACCATCTTGTATGGAGGATAGTTATTAATTCATTTATTTTCAATTTAATATATCTTAAAAATTACTGTATAAAAATTACTTTATAAACAAGTCTAAATTGAAAACAACGTTCAAACCTATGATTGTGTTGGATAAAGACTGCAATTTCTATACACGTGCATGCAAAACAAATTTCTTGTTAGAGGGGTCTAAATACAGCACAAACAACATTTTCCAAAAGACCAAAAAAGTGAAAAAGTATATTTTAATAAAACACATTTGACTAGCAGATCGAACAACGGATGTTCTTAAACCCTGCTGACTGCCATTGGCGATTGCCATATAAACGGATCACCAGATGAAACAAAATGGATCGTATTAATTAATTTAATACCAAACAGAAAACAATAATCTTACGGAAAAGATGGTTTACCGCAAACAAAAGGTTTTAAAATTAGTACACCATATCCGGATTTCGACAATTAATGTCTCAATTGTGATGTTAGGAATCGAAACGGTATTTGGAAGGCCATATAATTTACCTCAATTTAGGATAGACTCTTGAATTTTGAAGAGTCGAAATAGGATGAACGGATCATGTAAACCCAAAGGCAAATATAATACAAGCCCAAACGAAAAAATATAAACAAGTCTAAATTGAAAACAACGTTCAAACCTATGATTACTTATATATCAAATGCGTTTTGTTAAAATATACTTTTTCACTTTTTTGGTATTTTGGAAAATGTTGTTTGTGCTGTATTTAGACCCCTCTATCCAGAAATTTGTTTTGCATGCACACGTTTAAAAAATGCGGTTTTTATCCAACGCAATCATAGGTTTGAACGTTGTTTTCAATTTAGACTTGCATATATATATATGTATATGCTCGGGAACGGGCCCTTTAATTGGATTTAATAAAGTATTCTTATTCATTCAGAATTTTTGTGCAAAACATGCAATTTTTCAAAACGTCATTCATCGCTTTATGCACATTAATCAACGATAGTTAAGAGTCAAGATAAATTCGTAATTACTTGCGTTTAGTGGATTTTGTACAAAACATTTACGCTTTAAAAAGGTACAACTCCAATGGATCTACTTCTCTCTGGAATAAAAGAAAAAGGGTACTTATTTTGCCAGCATAAGCCTTAAGACTTATATTTTGGAATTGAATATTTATAATGAAAATCAGAAGAAGAAAGTGTTGTGTATGCTAAACCAAAATTATCATTTGATAGCAATTGAGGTCAAATAATGGCAGAATCATCTTCCTATTGAGCTTACCGATAGTGTCCACAGCATATTCCATTTTTCAAATCAAAAGCCTTTCCGAAAAACTATCAAAAAAGCCTCAATGTGTTTCAAATGTTTACTCTTAACAAGCATGCTATAAATAATTTAAAAAAGGCCATCTTAACCAATGAAAACGAAATAATCCTCATTTATAAAAACAATGTATCAGCGAAAGATCGTATTTAACACTGTTGCCGTATACATTATCTTACACAGCATATTTTGTCCAACTTCTTCTAGCTTAAAATCTGAACATAGTCTTTTCGTTACCTTCTTAATTGCTGTGTAGCATTAAGATAATACAATAATTACATGAAAGTTATTTTTCAACATTGAATGTCCTTATCATTTCCAGCTTTGACACCATTTCGTGTTTACAAATTCGTAAATTGGCCCGGCGCACTGAGCACACAATATCCATGCTCATCTAAAAGTTTATTCGAAAAGTGTGATCTGTTGATGTTTCAGCTAAAATGAGTATACATTTTGGGGATAAAGTACAAAAAAAATATGAATGCTAAAAGTAATGGTCTCTTGAAATAAAGAGTACAAATTATTTCCTTACGTATTAAATTGCTTACTATGATAATGAGATCATTTCCTTAGCTTGTTGTATGGGAAACGGTACAACTCTTCTTGAATTAAGAAAAATAAAATAAGCAGAATGAGTTGTAGCCATTCAGAAGCTGACTGATAGAAACTCCTTTGTTTTTGTTGCAAACTATTGATAAAACTCAAAGTTACTATATGATAAATGGAAATAGAAATAACAAAAATAACACTTGATTTGCCACTTAATATAAGTAATGTGAAATCTTCATCGTAATGACGAAACTTCTTTAGATTGATATTGATCTTTCGTTGTTTCATTTTCTGATTAAGTGTTATACTAACTAAAAGTTTACCTGGAATTTGTTTCTTTCTTTCTGTTTGAACCAGTGGTACTTATAACAAAACGGAAATTCCAGTTAATAAATTGACAATTGCTATAGTGTAAAGGTTCAGGTTCATTATCATCTCATTAATAGCTCCAGTACGTACCTACTACATCGCCGCAGTAGAAAAAGAATGGGATTATGCTCCTTTAAAAGAAAATACATTAAATAACGATTTGAGGTAAGTTCTTTTTCTTTCTAGCATAGTCTTATGATTATTTTTATATTATAAATTCTGTCATTTGCTCAATTCTTTTTTCATTTTAGTTAAAGTAAAGTCCTATTGGGTAGTTTTGTATCGTAAACAATATCATTCCAAAGTGTACCATTATACAAGAACTAGAAATGTTTACTAAAACTGAATTCAGAATTATTCTAGAAGATTAAATATGTTCTTGTCATGCCTGGTTTGCTTTATTGATTTAATAACGTTAACTCTTCATACTTATTGTCTCAATTGTACCCGAAGATGGTTACTCCAGAAACGTGCCGTCACGTAAATATCGGTATCGAGAGTTTTTTTTCCTGCAAACTGCAAAATTTCGCATTTTGAACGAAATTGATATAATATGAAATCTAGATTGGTCGATTTAAGAAAATTATTGCATTAACTTCCAAAGCAATAACTCAAAAACTTAAAAACCAAGGATGCATGATAGATGGTACATTTAAAAGTATGTTTTGACTCAGCTTAGCATCCAGCTCGGGGGTACTTGTGAAAGCAGATGGAGTTGATTGAATTTCAAACAGAGTGAGACCAGAGGAAAGCAAACCAGTATTCTCCCCAATTTCTATGATAATTTGGTGTATTTCAATTCTCATATGAGATAACCGTGTTATATTCTGAGGATGTGTTAATAACTTATTAGAGAAGTAAACGAAAGTTTAATAAAAAAAAAGCTACCTTGATTTAGGACAAAATTAAAATGAATGTTGAACCCATCAACCGGTTTTTTTTGCAGTGATGTCAGTCAGAAGCAGTTTTTTAATGCTAATAACAAAAACTAAACAAATAAAAGAAGTATAAAAAACGGAAATCATAAATAGCCCCAATTCAGTGGTACAATAAAGTAAAAGTTCTTGCTCCTAGAACTGATATAACCAAATGTTTATACATTGTGCGGGACGACCAACAGGTTTAACTCGATAAATGCAACATATATAAAAATGAAAATAACATCTTATAAGTTTTGTGCGTTTAAAAGGGATTTTAGAATAGTTATAGATAGAAAATTCTAAACAGAACAAGTAAAGCCAATGATGTAAAAGTGTACGTTTTATGTTGGTTAACATTTACAAAATAGTTATTTTTTGTTTGCTATTTTATACAATTGAATTATGACATTTGAACTACTAGGTATAAGGTTAAAGTCACATTTATGGTTTCAAATAGTCTGAATAACCGGATTGTTAATTCGGTTTATATTTCTAGTTTTGTAATGTAAAAAAAGGCTTATAAACCAATAGGTAGAATTATCGTGCTATCATATATCATCAAAGATGTAAAATTGATAGAAACCATGGAAGCTTTTAACAGATACAAGTTTTGTAAAGAAATACCAATCACAGAAATATCAAAATAGACGTTCGTTGTTTGGATTTTTTTGTTAAAAATTCAAATTTTTATCTTTAAGACACTATAAAAAAAGCTTAATTAAATGACCTGTTAAGCGTTAATTGGCATAATAAACTGATAACTATTGATACCGCAACAGTCTCTTTAACATAATGCAAATATACATTTACAAGGACTAGAAGAGTGAGGCCTGGTTCAAAAATAATCTCAACTCTAAATTGATATTTTTTTCAATCATAATCTTCCAATTATATGTAACAACATTCAAGTAGCACCTGCATGTAAAAATCAATAAGTTGGTACCCTATTCCTGTGCGTTTGTGTCTCTGATGGAGTGCTACTGTGTTCAGGAATACCCCTGAATCAATGATTCTAAATGGAAAAGTTGAAAATTATTTACTCAACACCGTCTTGACTTGGCAGACCATTACTGAAGACCTATATCATATATGGTCGCAGGTATGTCTAGATATGACTTATCACTGACTATAAATTGTGGTTTTATTTTGGGGACAGTTAAAATTTATTGTAACTGGCCGGAAACCTATGCCAATCATTTCGTTTTTGCTAAAATTTTAGTTGAACAGTCACAAAATAAGAAAATATTTCAATGGATTTTGATTGTTTTTAAGCACTGCGAAGAAGTTTATATTCAATGGAGGCAGACAGATTGGCAGCAGATATACAAAAGTGATATACACACAGTTTACAGACGGAACATACACCAGGGAAATACCTGCGCCAAAATATAATGGTTTCCTTGGTCCCACACTTAAAGGAACAGTTGGTGAAAAAATACGTATTCACTTTAAAAATATGGCGAGCAGGCCATACACTATGCATCCTGAAACTAACGTTTGGTACAATGACGATAGTGAAGGTAAATTGTCTGTACAATTTCATTCAAGTTTAATCAAGTTTTGAGTAATTTCATTCAACAGCTGAAAAGAAATAGATGTTGAAAACTTTTGATGTCCTAAAATCTTGCATATTTTTAGTATTTCTATACAGTTTGAAATTGTCCTTATATATTTCAAGTTGAAAGTAAGTCTGTTATCCTATAATCTTTCAGGATTAGGTCTTTACAACAGCTGATAAGAAATAGACGATTCAAACTCTTGGTTGTCCTTTAATCTTTCAAAGAAGTATCCACTAGGTTTTAAAGACAATTGCTAAGAGAAAGAAATTTTGGTTAACTGATAACACGCATCTCTATTTAATCATAGACAACGAAAGACTAATTTCTATTTGTTGTTAGTACACACATACCATAACAAACACCATATACAACTTTGTCATGAAGACATTTAATGTCCTTATTGCAGTATGACTATGTATTCGACTTATATCTTTTTTTTAATCTATATGGCCCGAGGACACAGTTATCGTACTTTGATTTTCGTTGTCTTCAAATATAGTCCCTAGTTTGATCAGTGTATAACTTGCAAAATATTTTCATACACTTTCCAATTTATTTCTCTATATTTTATGCATGAAATATTAAGTAGGGGGATGAAATTAAATGTTAAAAAAATGGGTAATGAATTTCTAGGTAAAGTAGTGGTTTGGTCCAGTTAAAAGAGGTCAAAAACTAGTATGTCTTAAGCTGTCAATTTTATTATTATTTTGTCCCAAAAGTAGTACACTACACTGTAAAAATCTTTTTGAGATAGAGCAGGTGCGATTCTTTTAATTTGAATTTATTTTCTAAAAGAAAAAGAAATACACTACGAAATAACTGTGTTCTCGAGCCTAAGAATGTTGGTTGGACACGACATTGAGCAACGGTCACTATGGCATGATAGAAGCGGACGTTCCTTTGGCATTTTTTGGATGAAACTTTCCTGCTTATAATGCGATTATATCATGATTACTCTCTGTTTTATCAGAGCTTTAGTATGCGTATGGGTTTTTTTCAGTGGGTCTCCATTCAACATATGTACAGTAAGTGATTCGTTGTGTATTGGGCTTTATGTTATATCGGTTTCTTCGTTCCTGTTCAGTTCTATGAGTTTGAACATATGGATTTTTCTATGACATCACCATTTTAATCTTCTTCTGGTCTCTATTCACTCATTTGATTCATCAATCAATATCTATCTTGTGTGTTACATTTTAATGTTGTGTTTCTGTTGTGTCGTAGTTCTCCTCTTATATTTGATGTGTTTCCCTCAGTTTTAGTTTGTAACCCGGATTTGATTTTTTCTCAATCGATTTATGAATTTCAAACAGCGGTATAATACTGTTGCCTTTATTTGCATGGTTTATGTCATTAAAGATCATGCTCATGTCAAATATATACCACTGGATGTTTTTTTGTCTAGAAAGAATTTGATAACTATCTATACAGTAAGATAATTTATTTCTAATTTGTGATTGTGAAATCTATTTTATGCAATTGTTTCGACATGAAGATACCACAATGTATACACATTTATTTGCCGAAACTGTGTTAAATGACATAATTTACTTTCAATAGGTGCTTTGTATGACGATAACACACCTACAAGTCAAAAATTTGATGACCAAGTACAGCCGGGAGAATCTTGGACATATAATTGGGAACTCAGAGCGAATTTTGGGCCAACCGGTGATGATGAAAATTGTATTGGAGTTCCTTACTCCTCCCATAATAAACCACCAAAAGATAGGGATACTGGTTTGGTAGGAATGATGGTGGTTTGTAAGCCAGGTAAGAGATCATGTTATGAAAGGTTATTTTTCAACAATCCATTACATTCGTTTGATGTGTTTGAGCTTTTGATTTTGCCATTTGATAAGTGACTTTCTGTTTTGAATTTCCCTTGGAGTTCGGTATTTTTGTTAGTTTACTTTTTACATCGAAAAGTGTACTCAAAATTAAAACAATGTTTTTTGCTAAAGTACATGTAGTAAAAAACTTTTAACTGTAAATGTAAAACACATCGTATATCGTAAACTGACAAAGATACAAAGATATGTGAATAAAGATACCAGGATAAAAAATTTGTACGCTTTTCGTATACAAAAGACACGTGACGCCCGATTCAAAAAAGTTAAAAAAGGACAAATAAACTAAGAATTTGAAAAGCATTGAGGACACAAAATTTCGCAAGGTTTCACAATTTACAGCCAAGGTAGTCTGTTCTTGTAGTGTTAAATCCTTTGTAAAAATAGATACATGTATTGAAAAATTCAAAACGTTTTTGATTTTATACTGCAGGAGTTTTACGGCATGATGGCAGTCGAGTAGATGTTGACAGGGAGTATGTTTTGTTCATGGGTGCGGTTAATGAAAGCTTCAGCTGGTTAATAGATGAAAATGTAAACCGATGTAGAAATCCTGCTGAATGTAACTCCTTAGTAAAGTCTGGGAATAAAGAATTCATTGAGTCTACTATATATCAACAGGTAATACAAATTTCCATGAGTCTTCTATTTATCAACAGGTAATAAAGACTTTTTTCGCCTGTCCCAAGTCAGGAGCCTCATGCCTTTGTTAGTCTTGTATTATTTTTAATTTTAGTTTCTTGTGTATAATTTGGGGTTTAGTATGACGTCCATTATCTCTGAACTAGTATACATATTTGTTTAGGGGCCAGCTGAAGGACGCCTCCGGGTGCGGGAGTTTCTCGCTGCATTGAAGACCCATTGGTGGCCTTCGGCTGTTGTCTGCTCTATGGTCGGGTTGTTGTCTCTATGACACATTCCCCATTTCCATTCTCAATTTTATTCATTGATTCTATATATCAACAGGTAATAAAGACGACAGAGTCAAGGGAAATGAGATGATGTTAATAATATTTTATTATAATACGGTAATGAAACTTTACCTTTAACTTAAAAGTACTGATGAAATTCTGCAAGATATGCGAGTTGTTGACAATGAAAAATGTATATCATTTACAGATTAACGGATATATTTATGGAAATGGTCCGGATTTTGAAGTTTGTTCTGGAGAGAAGGTGGTTTTTTATGCCTTTGGAATAAACACTGGAATACAAACAGTTACAATTTATGGAGGAATACAATCATGGTTAAACAGGAGGTAAGACAAGCCTATACAATAGAATAATATCAAAAATATTCTTTTTAACATGTTTAAATGTTCGCTTATAGAAAACAAGGAACTATTGTATTGTGAATATTGACATTTTGTAACAATTGATCTTCATTTTGAAGAACTAGTGGATGTTCCAAAGTTTTTGTGTATTAGGCACGAGCCTACAATTTTTATTTGCATTGAGTAACTCATCCGTAGCTGCATCATATTCAGTGGAAAAAAATACATGAACCAACTAATACATTAACTAAAAAGTCAAATCGATGTTTAAATATAGCAGTGTCGTCTTTTGTTTATGTGGAGTATATTTTGATTCTATATCAATTGAATGTCTCAGAAATGTAATTTTGTCTTTGAAAGAAGATACTATCCTATTTTATTAACTTCTTTTTTAATTCCAATTTTACTGAAATGTGACTTACAGGGGATGATTTGTAAACGGGGAGCAATCTCAATATCAAAATACGTATTTTCAAATTATAAGTTCTTATTGTTATTTCAAGATCAATGCATGCGTTTTTTTTTAACAAATTACACAATATTTTCATTACCAATCTAGATTTGAGGGCGTTAGCATACAACCTGGCATTGCTAAAGTAATCACTGTTAATCCAGAAGGTACTGGACGTTGGTTGATGGGTAATACCAATCTTCACAATTTTAAAAGTAAGTATGCTAAAAGTTATTGGTTTATAATACATGCACTCTACACAATAATTCGCCCTGTAATATCGCAATTGATAGACTGTTTATGATTGAATGTTCATGACAAGTGTAATAATCAATAAGTAGCAAAGAAATTAATAGTATCAAGAAGTTGAGACAAAATGTTAAAAAAGAGATGTCAGTATAAAATATGTATTAAATGAAATTGATAAAGGAAAGATAAATCACTAGTTTGCAAGTTCTGACAAGATGTTGAAAAGAACTTGCAGGTGTAAAATATTTATTTTTATAAATTAATGATAGAAAGATAAATCGCTAGTATTCCAGTTCAAAATGAATAGACTTTTAAACGCTTCCAACGAAAGAGTCGATATTATCAATTACTTTTTAACCATACGGTAATGGTTTCACTCACCATTGAAGGAATTACCTTGACCAGAATTCTTTTTTCTATGTGGACACTTGTCTCTTTCGAAATCATGTCACGTCTTCTTGTTATAATATTAGGTATCATATGTCAAATATTTTTTGTTTACCTAATTTGTCTCGGTTATGTTTAAATAATCTATAATCCGTTGCATCTAAAGAATCAAGTCATGTTCTTTAAACATATTTGTCTGAAAACCAAAATAAATCAACAAGGTCCAAACATCAAGACTTATTTCAAGACCGGCAATAGTTGAAGACAATATAGTACTATCTTTCTTTTACGCCCATTGAAGTTAAAGATTATAAACTTGGGTATTTGTCGTCCTTGGGTCATTCTTTAAGTTTAAAGACATAGCTGCCCATTGTATCATAGTGGAGTGTAATCTTGCAGAGCGGGTCTATCTTGCTTATATTAGACAAGATGTGATTAAACATTAGCAACAATTTATGCTTTAACATCTAAGCGTATAAAACAATAACTCGTCATATGAAATAATCTTATTTCTATCGATGCATTTAAAAAAAAGTACATCTCAAGGACGTCGAATTGAAGAAGATGATATACCTCCTTACTTAGACAGTCTATGTAGTCTATATTTTAGAGAATTGTTAACATGGTTTAGTTTGACAAAGAAAGCACTTAAATATCACCTTTATAATTTTAGGTAGATAACATTGCTGCAAAAACTACCCTGTAATATATAATAAATAGAGAATATCATATGGCCTTTTCCATATCACACCTGTATCAACCCAAGACACCAATATAATCCCAAGAGCTCTGCTCGAGGAATTATATTGGTTGAGGGTTGATACTGTGTGTGATATTGAAAAAGCCATATCATATACACTTTATATAGACATGTACCTCAAGTACAAAGTATTTAAGAGTTTTCAGTAAGGTAATGAAATAAAAACTATTCCAGATGGTATGTTTGCATTTGTGAAAGTTAACCAATGCCCATGGATAAAACCACTTACAACAATACCTTCGGGAAAAATTGTTCGGTTTTATATGGCCGCTGAAGACTTTATGACTAGCCCCACACCAAATGGTATAGTAGCTAGAGCAGGTCATCTAACAAAAGAAAGGGCAATGTAAGTAAATATTAAATAATGCTGATCAAGTATACTATCGTGATAGGGGATTGATGTAAACCAAAGCAACAACAAATAAACTCTGTCACTTCGTCATACAATAATACAAATGCATTATTATATTGAAACAAACTTTTTATAACTAATATAGTTTCCTCTGACAAGTCGTCTTACAAATGGAAGCAAATCGATTTGCAAATTTTATGACAAAGCTTATGATAGAAGCGTCAATGACTATTTGTGGAATGTTTTAAACTTTTATAGAAGACAGGAGAGAGAGACAGAAGATAACAATGGGTAATAAAAAAGCAAACAATGCAATGACAAAAAAAAAAGACGAAAAGACAAACAGAGCATCGAAAAACTAAAAATGAAACTACACGAAACTTAATATAACTTTTTATTGTAATGTGTCTTTCTTTTACAAAAATATTACGGGAAGGATACAAATATCATAACTTGCATAATTTTTTTCCCCGAGTTCTATCAGAAATATAGGGATTCATAGTTGAGGTATGCATATGACTCAACCCCGAAACATTTACGAAAAAGATAAGGTACTATGAGCTTGCTTTCAGTAATTGCAAGCATTCTTATATGCGTTATAGGTTGTTAATGTTTTACTTGTAACTATGTTGTTGGTGTCTACGATATCGGTATAAAAGAGTATGTTTGTGTTTCCTCTATTTTTATTGTAATTTTCTATACTAGTATTTGTTTTCATATTTTCCGAACGGAATCAAAGGGTGGGTTGAGTCCTTAAAGCAATAGTTTTACCAAACCACATACTAACATGCCTGTAAAAAAAAACATCGTCAGTTCTTATCCCTAGTGATGTATTTAAAAATGTTTATTTTCATGAACATTTCGTGATGGTGGTAGTTCTTTGATAATCTATTATCGGTTTATTAACAAATTTTCTGGTATTATGGAGAACGTGGAGAATTCAGAGAATGTATTGTTAAGTTTTTAAAGATTGTTTATTGAATCCTTGATTACTTTAAATTTCTTTTTGGGGTTGTTTGATTTCATCAACGTAGAGCAACAATTATTTTTATTAAAACAAAAAACAAAACAACATACAATGTTTTATCTATATGTGCATACATATATGTTATTCCAACATTTCTATCCTGTTTAATATTTGATATCCATTTTGAATAAACATATTAAAACAAAACAAACAACTACCAAACCAATTTTACAAACAATGTTGATGATTACGAGATGGGGGTTGCTTTTACGCGTTACCATTGTCGATAATACAGAAGTTGGGTATGATCCAGGAAGCTTTGAAATTAGTATTTTAAAGTACAGTTAAATAAACCTAAACTTACTCTTCCTTCATAGTTTTAAAAAATAAGTCACTAGCAATATTGCATTTGCAATTTTATTCAATATATTTTATTTCAATATATCAGACGAGAACAGCAATCTATCAATGCTGGGAAAATACATCACGGACGATTTATACAGTATACTGATGAAACATTTACAACTCCTGTCGCGAAAACTGCAGAAACAGAACATTTTGGCGACTTTGGACCACACGTTTATGCGGAAGTTGGTGACATCTTAGAAGTTGTTTTGAAAAACAAACTCAAGAATCGGAAAGCATCTTTTGTTCCTGTAGGAATCGATATCGACAAAAAATTCGAAGGAATTTTATATAGAAACAACAGAGAAAGTAAGTAATGATTTATAAGATCTTTCATTATCAAAATGGAATTAAAATTTCAGAGAACGCGATTTTCAGGTATTCTAAAGAGAAAGACAAATTAAACAGTTGAGAACATAACAACCAAAGCGGCTTATCCAGAACGACCAAAATCGACTCAGATTTTATTTGCTTCAATGACTTCCAATTTCCGTTGATAAGTTATGAAATTTTATAGAAATTAAGGCTCAAATTTCCGCAGGCAAGTTGACTATAAATGGCTTTGGCTACTCTTTTTTGGTCCATTTTGGTTATTGAGCGCCTCACGTTTTCAAGTTCTTATATATCCTTGGCTTTCAAAGTTATTGGTTTTCAAGCATTCCTGATGAAGAGTTATCCTGGAGGAATCGTCGGACGCATCAAATTTATAAAGTAGAAATGTCATTTCCTACCACTGCTTCGATACCACTGCTTATTGGCTGCCTGTTACCGAGGGCATCATCAGTTCAGTAGTCAGTGCTGGCATGATTTATAACGGCGCAGCAACCATCCTGTCCTCTTTTCCTCGATTGAAACATCACATATGTTTTTTGTCATGAGCAGCACGACGAGTGCGACGAGTGGAGGACAATATGTTTACCTTTCCGGAGCACCTGCAATAGTCCTAGGAATTTGGTTGGGTTTATCTCTTTCATACAAAGTTGACCTTATATCGATGTAGCTACTCATTTTAGGTCCCTTTAAGGCATATAACCTAATTCCCGCGTATTCAAGGACTTATACATCCTTATTCTTAAAAATAAAGCGTTTGATCTTACATTTTTTTTATTCGGGCATCACTGATGAGTCATTTGTAGACGAAACAAGCGTCTGTCGTACAAAATATTTATCCTGGTATCTATGATGAGTTTATTTACCTGACGAAGGTAAGGGAAGATAGGCACCAAACTCGCCTAATTTATTAAGTGTTATTTTATTCAGTAGTATTCTTGATATTTCCACAGAATATTTTTTTCAATTAAAATAAGTCCAATTGATCATGCACTGGCTACTGGGCAGGTAGTATTCTAGATTTTGTCAGTTAATCAGTATCGTTATCGAACATTCACATGCTATTAATGTCAACATATATAAGTAATCGCACGCCACTTGACTCCTAAAGAAAGCTTCATAAGGGTTTTTGGGTACATAAATAAATTCATCATAGACACCAGAGATAGAATTTTGTACGACAGACATGAGTTTTGTCTTCTAAAGACTCATCAGTGACTCTCGAATCAAAAGAGTGTATGAAAGGGCCAAATAAAGTACAAAGTTACATCTAGGACACGAAATTCCGAACGGTTTTGACAAATACAGCTAAGGTAATCTATAAGTGGAATCAAAAATTAAAACTCAGCTATCGTCATCATACTAATAAGAGCATAAAACAAACAAAAATTGATTATGACGGACTTGCAACCTAATGTTCATTACACTCTTTTAATGACATATATAATTTAAAATATCTTTTTTGTCAAAAAAGCATAGTTAGTGTGTGACAAAAATCATGGTATGGTAGCATAAGACAAGGCTTCTATTATTTTATAGCTAGAATCACCTGTTCACTTATAACCTTTTTTTTCTTCCCATTTTGAAGAAAGTTCAGAAAATGATTACTGATTAAATTTACATTTCAATCTTTAGTTATGCATGGTCAGACAAATAATCAAAATATCTAGTCATAAAATATAGTATAGAACTGAGTCCAGAAGACTTTCGCTGATTATAGCATAATCAACAGTGATTT